AAGCTTGGATGAAAAAATATACGTTAAAATGAAACGTAACCGTGAATTGCGAGGTGTCTTACACGTATGTTAATGTTTGATTACACACCCCTTTGATAGATGTTACAATCAATAAGTATCTCTATATCTTTCTTTAGCTTGTTGCCTAATTTTGCTCTATTTTAAGAGTATGAACACCTAGACGTTAATTACAGGTTTTTAACCCTTAGATTAAAGGATTACAGACTTAATTCCTGTTGATTCAGTGACTAGACCTATTGTAACCACCACAGCGTGATATCCGTCGAGACAAAACTATAACATCCGCGATCCAAACTTTCGTCTAGATCAAGATGTTACATGCACTTTCTAGTTTCCGGAGAAACAAGAAACAGCTCATTGTCTCTCTTTAAAATTAAGTTTAGTAACTCAGTATTTTGATTCTAAATATACTCAGTATTATTTTCATTACGATGTCAAGTTTGTGTAAACATATTGGTGACTCGTGTCTCTAGATTGTATTCCGCAAATTCATGTTTTGGGCCTAAAAAGTCGTCGTTCTCTGGAGGAAGTCTATTTTAGAAACAAGTATTTTGTTCTAAAAATATTATGTCGTTATAATCCAAATCGTGTTTTCTGACACAAGTTGTCTTATGATCCCTGTTTAAACATTCCATACAGTACACAAAGCCCTTTTAAACAATCTACTTTCATTGTAATAATGCACTATATTTCCCAGGCGGTAACTAAAATTCATCTTTAAGTAGCCGTAATACTGATCCCACTTAGTCCATTTCCCAGTTTACCCATATACTTCGTAATGTATTTGACAAGGTCGACTAATTTTGAAACTTACTAGTGAACATTCCACTTTAATATATGTTTTGTTCTTTGTTTCTTTTCCGTCATGGCTTCTCGTCAGGTTTCGCAAGTCAGTTTATTCTTCAGATTTATTTTATATACATGTAAGCCTTGTAAACATAGAGTTAGGATTTTCATCCTTCGGCGGTCCTATACTTCATGTATCATTGCTTTTTTGCCAAAATTTGAATCGACGTATGTTACGCACTATTTGTAGTTAATAATCACACGATAGTATTTCAAAAATAATGCAGTTTACTAATTGGTAACCTTCCTTATTCAAATAAGCTTAAAGTTACGATTTCAGTGGTCAAGGCACTATACTCTAATCCAGTGAACCCTCAAATGCGCTGGTATGGTTAATGGTCGAGTTCGCTCTCACATGGTCATACGTATGTAGCCATTGTCAGGGAAGTCCTACCCACTGCATTCGCACTGAGAGGATGTTGTTTACGAAGTTGAGAGAACAGAAAGCAAATGTCCGGTGCTTTGACCGGGTTAATGGAGGCAGAGGGTCCACCTGGGGGAGTCGGAAAAACCTGGTTCCAAAGCAATGGTGTACATGGGCTCCAGGATCCTAAGTGAACAAAAGGCGCATGCGCCTACTGTTGATCGCCAGCTACCATAAGACTGCGTCTTTTGACGTTGCTCCGCCACCTTGTTGATTAGACCTCTAGGTCAAAGGCTCAGGAAGTGACCCCCTAAGAAAACTACTTGGTTCGATTTGGACGCTCAAGCACTATTCCATCCCTCACACAAATCGAATGATGAGATTAGCACATACATGTTTTGTATGTTTGAATAGGTAACTCAATAGTCGGTCACCAATTAAGATGCACTTATACTTCAAGGCAAATATTCCCTCTATATATTTCTCTAAAACTATGATTTATATATTGATTTGCTTCGTCTCTTTCTACATTTCATTCATATTCATGCACACATTATAGTCTTTTCGCGACTCCAATTTATTCGTGGACTTTGCTCCGTTGATCCTAGGTCAATAAATATCCTACGTTACCTACAATCTAAGCCATCAAATTAAATAATGTATGGATTGGCATGTGAGAATAATTGATTCTGAAACTTCAGTGATATATAAACAGTGTGAAAACCTCATGTATTTTACTCAGTGTCTGGTGGTCAACTTGTTTTGTTACTCATATGTATAAGCATCATCATCAGAAGTGCACTATTTTTTTTTTTCGATACCCTATTTCGTCAAGTCTAGGAGTCCTGGTATGCTGTTTGAATACACATTTCTCAGCCTTACTGACGCTAAATTTATATGCCAAATGTACCATCTGCTAAATATAAGTACAATATAATGCTTGATATTATCTACCTGAGGAAGTGTTTCTTTGTGATTCTAAATATTTATCAAACGGTCTTCCGAGAAATATAATGTCTTCTGTTCGTTATTAATTATGTGCACCTACATTTAGATTCATGTACTCAGAATCAAGCCATTGTTCATAGTATGACTATTGATGGTACTAATACTGAAGTAAGGCCGGTTCCAAACTTGCAACTTAATGTTCAAAAATGGAGTGCGTTAAATACCAAGAAAGCTTTCCACAAATTTGTAATGACTTTATTATTAATCTCTACTTACTGTTAGATTTGAGACTGGTTGTGTCTCCCTTACCTGAAAGATTTCTTCTGATTGTACCTTTCCGTTCCCTCGTTACTACCACACTACCTTACACCAATCTCTTCGTTATCATTCTCTTTTTCTTTTGTGCTCCTTAGTTTTTTTTCTATCTCTCTTCGAATTTTCATTGTTTTGTGTGGCGCATATATATTGGCGCTCCCTTGTACCAATATTTGTGTTCAAATAAATAATAATAAAAGAAGATTTGAGACAATGTTTGTCATCAAAGACAATGCTAGTTAGTGCATGTTTCTACACAAAGTGTAGTTATTGATAAAGGTGTACAGAATCTCCATAAATGGTTATAAAAGCCAACTGAATTTTTTTCCTTAGCCTGCCATCATAAAAGTTTTAAATAAATAACTACTATGCTTCATTTATTATGGCTGAGTAACGACCCTTTGTTTTTTTCACCTTTGGCGATTATCGGTTAATTGTAAAGAGATAATTGACAGGTATTTATACTTAGCTTGCCTATTATTATTGCTAGACTAAGCAACATGAAATCGACGTGTAGTTGATCTGTATTTAGTTTATATATATCGCTCTTCAGGTTTTTATGACAATACTGTGTCTTCCATGAAGTGACCTGACACTGGTAAATCCGGAAACAACTGCACTCATAGTTAATGCACGGTATATGAATTTGGTAATCCTTCTTTATTCTATAAGTGACATTTGTACTACATTTTTGTTTTTGCCTTTTGCACGTGATCTTTTAAGCGTAGATTCCATTAGAGATAGCGTCAAATGGTAATAATGATAACTTCAGTACTTCATAACATTCAGTTATAATACGAGTCATAAGCCATTACACAAGTATAGTATATTAAAACAGTTTCCCAGATGTAAACAGTTTAATGTATTTTAACTGAAACAGGCTTTCGACTCACATTTGAACATGATTCTGGGGAATGTTGAAGAAACTGTAACAACATTGGAGATAGATGAGGAAACATATGAAGAAGTTTACAAGGTAATCTATTTTGACCTCTAACAAAATACCCTTCATTGTAGACTACAAAACGCACAATACCCATGCTGTTTATTCGCGGAGATGGTGTTATCCTAGTTTCGCCTCCACAAAAGGACTAACTCTTGTACAGTCAATTTTTATGCATCGTAATCCATATCCATCAATAAAACATGTCATTTAACAACAGTTTGAATATTTCACTCAGTAAATAGTCTTATAACGTTTCAGCGGTACTGTAACATGTTCGGCACACTAATAGTTTTTTAATAACCTATCTCGACCTTGTAATCCTTTGCAAATTAAAATACAAGCATTGAACTATTCATTTTCGAAAAGGCAGTGGATTTCCTTACTAGGAAGTATCGACCAAAGAATAGTAAGACATTTTCAGCAATTTTCAACGAAGAGTTCGATAAAAATGGGAACACAAGGATGTAATATGCCGATTATTTAGTAAGTAAACTTTCAATGAATATACTGATTCTCAAAGTTTTAATACCGATCCAGTGAAACTTTTCTATGCTTTAGCATACATTGTTATTTAGTTATAAATTCAAGCAGGTGTTGGTGTGCATCTGACATAGATGCCGAATTCGTGAATCCCAAAACCGTTACTCCCTAGAACTCAAAATAGACTGTTTCTGAGGAGAATTTAAAAACGGTAATCAATACTGTTCCAAAGTTTTGGATAATAATTGGAGTTATTGGATCGAGTTCTGTATATTGTAGTCCTACCAATGACTGGTTTGAGTAAAATAGCAATAATATTTTACTATAACATTGGGTACTTCAGGTTCGAATAGTGTCAGAAATTTGATTCGTCAGGCCACTAGCTAAGAAATATTTTTTAAGGATAATATAGCTTCAGTAAAAAGATATTTCCCTACATGTTTCTAAAAAGTATATACCTCATCGAAAATTTAAACGCAGGCAAGTTGATCAAACATCACTTTATTTAAAAAAAACTCGCGAAATACCAAACTACAGAAATTTCAAGAGCAATGTCAGCGCCACCCTTCGGAGAAATACATCAGTAGAGATCGCAGTGATCGTTCATAGCTTAAAAAAATTCAATATGAGTAAATATCATACTTTCTGCATACTGCAATAAAAACATGGATGCAGCAGATTAATAATCACCTCCCAAACACTAACCAAACTAACCGATAGATTGTTTATCGAGTGGCATCTCCCTGGCGAACTTTACTCGACTATTACATCTAGCTTGACAGTTGTTCTACTGATAATGAGGACCAGTACAAATGAAGGTCCAGTGATTGTTTTATCAGTCTGCCAATAGAAGCGAGGTGAGCCATTTTTTATAACCGTACTGATATTTGTGGCTGCGTAGTTTATGCACAATCACCTGATATTCCTCATGGTAGATATCGAACCCCACTTAGATAGCAGTTTACCAATGGTGAAAATCAATTAATCATAACCAACACAACCCGATACCAATAAATATCGTCTAAATTATTTGTAACAACGATTCCCATTTTCGAGCATAGGCCAAAATTAAGAGTTACTCCCAAGGTGAGTATTCATTTATAGCTCTGGAAACATAAAAATCCCACGCAAACATGATTTACTTCAAACTTACAACATGCAATGAGTAGAAGTATCTTAAGTAATACATACACTTAAATTGGAAGAGTACACCGTGATACTAAGCACGGGATAGAAGAGAAACGCTTTACAGAATTCCTATGTCAACAATTAACTACTGAAATTAGTTAAGCCTGTGAACACTAACTGTGACCGTAACACACTCGGGTCTAAAAGAGTGGAAAATGAAAGCGTTATTCAACCTGATATTTATGCTTCATAATCTAGAGAAAGGATAGTTGAACTATAAACGTTTGCACGAAATCAAGCTATAAAAACTGTTCAAAATAATTAATGCACAATGTATAAAAATTTACGGGGAAAAAATAAAGGGTAAAGTGATCAAACAGATACATTGAGATCAATTTCGTTGGCAGTATTTCTGATACGTACGCTGGATTGCTCGACAAAACGTAAAATAACGTCCGACCACTTGTTACAAAGCCAAGTATCATTATGATGACCATCCGGAAAACTCACAAGACCATCTCTTCCAGAATTAATGAAGGTAACTGGGTTTTGGGAAAGCGAGTTGGGCTTTGGAGAGTCGTCGTACATTACGCTCGAACTACACTCATTTCGAATATGCTGTTTTGTCACTATATTTTCATAAGCTTCAGCAAGTTTCCACATCATTTTTGGTGGAATAATATTATCCAACTCACCTGAGATAAGCAAAAGAGGTGGGAAAGATGAGGATTTCTTTCTAGATTTGCTACAACTTTGAAGTCTAGCCAAGGAGGTATATTGATTTGAGAACAACCAAGAGGGCAATTTACAGGGTATATTGAGGATATGACTTGCAGCATCAGTGATAGATGTAAACGTATTTTCAATAATAACACCACATATTTTCTCACTTGATATAGGATCCACTGCCAAATAAATACCTAACGCTCCTCCCAATGATCGACCAAGTACAAATATTTTTTCATTGTTCAGATCACTTCTCATGTATAAATAATTAAGAGCACACGTACAATCTGCATATAAACCCTCTTCACTTGGCTTTCCGGTACTCTGACCATAACCTCGATAGTCTATAATAAAAATATTACATTGAAAACGGTTTTCTAAAACTTGGCACATTGGTAGCCGGGTAGTAGAGTTTCCTGCATTTCCATGCAAAAGGAGCACAACTGGACAAGACTTTCTGCGACATAAATCAGGCTGAAGAAGAAGGAAACCAATAATTGTTGGCCCAGTGTTGCCATTAGGACATAATTTTACCAATTCCCATGTAGAAAATCCAAAAGATGATGGATTCATGTATAAAAATTTCGAAGACGGTGGTTCATCACAAGCATAAACTATTGTCTGTTCTAGGTACTGAAAACAAAACCATAAAGCAAGTAACAATAATAAAACAGAAATTAAGAGAGAAAGGGGCAAAATTAAATAATCGAGCGACAACGAAATTGGTATCCCAAAAACAATAAGAATAAACAGGCCAGGAACACGAAATGATTTGTTGCAGTTTGTTAATGGGCAGAAAGGCTTTGGATTTATAATCCAGTAACTGAACTGAGAACGAATTGGCCGAAGAAGAAGAAACAAACGTCCAACTAAACCTCGTCGCATTGTTAAGCCTTCATTCAAGCATGAATTCGATTCACTCACGGGAGTTCCTGAGGTCTAAAATGAAAGCCAAGAAACACATGCGAAATTACTTCGTAAAAACTGGATTAAGATTAAACTTTTGAACGTAAAGAATCTGAATGCTACTAGAAGAGCAAGTCAATCAGGTGTATTCAGTTTCGTGAAAATGCGAAACATGTAGTTTGCTAACAACAACAACAAGAGTAATCAAAAGAAACACAAAACGTGATTCTCCGACCAACAATAAAGTGAAGAAATATGGCAAACATAGTGTTGCAAACATATGTATGGTTTTAAGACGATAATGCTACGGTGCTTATCTTCAAATGCAAGAACTTTGCTTATCTTTAGAGATACTGAATTTGCTTTATCAGGGGATTAAAAAAAGACCAGTTTGTATCACATCCATACTACAACACAAAAGGTCGAATAAATGCACAAGTCCTTTAGTGTTAATCCAAAGTCATAAATAATTAAAACCATCTGCGGGAAATTTTAAAGTTTCAATATCAAATTGTTACTTCAAATAACACGAAACATAGCCACTAATAACAACATGATAATACATAATGTGTCAGTACTAATAAGGAATTATGTTTCTGGGTAACCCCTAGTATTATCCGATCGGATTCGCTGATTATTAATTATTTGAGATCTGATGACAACAATCCAATTTCGACTAATTACAATCATCTAAGCAATATTGCTATACAATAAAAGATTATATCGTGTTTGTATGGAAGTTATGCAGATAACCAGGGTTCTATGCTTTTAAAATAAATGGATTGTGAAATCCCAAACTTATTTCACTAAACTAGACTTTTCAGACCTGTCAGAGAAGGGTTACAACCCCATGGATTAGAGCTTCCAACGTTCTTAATAATAAATGTTAGAACGGAACACAAACTAGGTTGATAGGTAATTTGCATTTGTAAATACCTCCAGTGAAATCGGGAAGTGACTATAATTTGATACATGGATGTTCTGAAACCAATAACAACTAACAAAAAATCTGAAAAGCCAAATCTATTCTACTAAATACTGTTTAATAACCAACTCTCTTGAATATAGATATGAACTCGAAACATACGTTTCCATGTCAAATCATCAGGGTTGCTAAGAAAAACCAGTCGATTTCTTGGAGTATATATAAAGTCTCTACAATGATGAAAAACATGGAATGTCCCAAAGTCTGTCAAGTAACGGATTTAGCGAACAGATCAGCTAGAAATCATGCAATTTGTATTGGTCTGAATGAAAAAATAGGTTAAATTAGTGTGTATTTGAAGTGTCTCTTATGAAGACATTTTCCGTCTGAGGTCGCAAACATTTTTGGTATTCAAAATTTAGTACAAAATATTTCTTTCGCAGTTGTTTATGTGGGATTTAGTGGTCTTTGCCTAAACCATTCCGCGGAACAAACTCAAGAGACATGAGAAATCTTGATTTATGAAGATTCAACGTTTTGGCCTACATATTATGAGTGACTGGTAATTATAATCTTCGGGTTTTTAACTTGTTCTACATTTTAGTCGTCGAAAAATTATATTGAACCAGTAGTCATAAAATGACAATAAGTCTTCGGTTGAGTTCAAATGTTGTTAGTATTATAGAATGAAAAGTATCTTTCAGTCTAAATTTTTCAATCTCAACTGGATTCAGCGAAAATCAAATAACTATGTTTAGCGTCAGTGCAGATAGAATTAGTCGAAAAAATGCGAATCAATAAGCCACACTGCTAGCATATTCGTACTACATCCGAAGTCAGCAAAACCGAAAACTAAGTTAGAATAATATTAACCTAGAGTAAGTCAGTTTTTCCAAGTGAAAAATAAAACACCGCGTACCATCTTCAGCACATTTATACTCCAAATACTAATAATATAGTGGTGATCATCTCGACACGTAACAGGGAACCAAGAAGAGTATAAGTGACCTACAGCATAAAAACGCGATCATCATAAGCCAAAATTCACAAATCTGATAGTTATTAAATTCGCTTTATTCTGCTATTCTACATGTAAGTGGTTACACAGAAATGCAACTAGGTTTTACGTTGCATGACTGTATGCTACTATCTAGTGGTACGAAATTCTCAAGGTTTATAAATAGCCACATGCATTCAAATGCAGAAAAGAAAACGCAAAAATGATAAACCTTATCCTGAAATTCAAAGAAGATTTGTGAATGATATGTACGTCTAAAGTGGATTTCGAACATTCATGGTAGTTATTAAGGGATACAAAAAGCAACGTAAAAGAAAAAGAAAAGTCTTGGATAATTTATACAATTTATTTATACAAATCAGAATAAAAAACATTTGTACAAAAGTAAGTCATCTGAGTATGTTATTTAAGCACTAAGTCCAGCTTTTTTCTCTGCAATCACATATATTAACAGACGCCACATTTTTACAACAAATACTTCTGCCTCCTCATCTAAAACCTGAAGACAAAAATCACAAACCAAATCATAATAGCATTAAAGCCATATAATTAAATGCATTTGATATGATGATAATAATTTGAATATACGTATGTAATCGACGTTGCAATGAACCACATATGATGTAACCAAACACTAATGGTGTGAACCTTTGTAAGATTGTTCTATCATAAAACTAGTGTAAAATATGATCGATAGACGAACCCACCAATAATAAGTGAAACGCCCACCACCACATTAACTCCTTTTGACCTCGTACGACTGTAACTCTTTATTAACCAATCACAGTTTGATGTTCATTGTAAAACAATATTTGCTTGTTGACTCATTTTTCCTATTCTCTGGCTACTGTTCGGTATGTTATTTATTTCTGTTTTTCCCTGTATTAACAGACCGTACTGTTTGTTTGTACACTAACGATGTTAATTTATGTTTTAGAAACAGACAAAGTTTATCTAGCCAAATAGCTTGTTTGTTCTGACTTTGGCTAAACAAAAGACTCTGTACTCGACAGTCTAGAGATTAGCTGAGTTGAATCTGTAGGAAATTGCTTCCTACAACTAGGTCGGTAAGTTTGTATGAACGACATTACTCACAAAACTAGAAATAGATTCCCACTTAGTAGACAATTAATGTTCAGAACTAAAATGGTAGGTTGGACATAGTTTGGGAAACCATAATCTGTTGGTCTAATATAGCTCGAAGCTGAAAAGTATCTAAGAATGATTCTTCAAAGTAATCCTTTGACGACTATTTTATATTTGCAACTGCTCTGAAAAGTTAGTTTCAGTTATAACCATAACAAATGTGACCAAAAATATGGTAGTTCACACCCCGAATAACTCTGACTTCGACCCAATTGTATTTAACTACCAATCAGTGAAAATTGGTGTTGTGAATTATTTTTTTATTGCATTGCTTAATATTGGTCGATATGTAACACTTCCCCATTTTCTGGCTATATTTATTCTGTATTCTAATGTGTGACAATGTGATCAATTATATGAGACATAAAGCAAAAACATTCACAAAAAGCATGTACCTATTTAGATTATTGGACAATGCGAGGAAATGGAAACGATTGGAAATAATGTTATTGATAAACTGAAGGAAAAAGTGTGAAAACCAATCGAAAATAAGAAGTCGGTGGCTTCACATAACAAAAGTTAAGTATTCCGTATATTTGGGATGGATTTTGAGGTCGATATCTTAAGCAATTACTTTCTATGGTCCTGTTTATATTAACACATCTGATATAACTATATATATATTTCACGTTTAACTTCTTCCTAGCAATATATTTGTTTTTTAATAGGTAGTTTCCGATACCAGATATAGTAAAGCTTGATGAGTATAAATCGGATTCGATAGCTGAAACATAATCGCTAAATAACCTCTGAATGTAATGGTTAATATATTTAATTACTTTATTATTTATTTTTAAGATATGTGTCGAGATTGTTTATTCTCAATATGTAATACAAACCAAAGATTTCTACCTTCCAAATTAAGATATATTTTATTACTATATACACCTTAAATCATTATGTAGTCTGAGTACCATAGAACACATTTAGATATGATTATCGCTAGACAGAAAAAGATCCGACTATAAAAGCAACACACAGAGGATAACAAAATACGGTTAGTCATGTAATACGGATGTTGTGAATCAAACAACACAGTTTGAATAGGAATACACAGATCACATTCACTTACAATAAACATCTCACTACTTAAGAAAATAGGAAATCACGACAAGAATGAAAACGGTTTTCAAGAATCAGTTATCATCAACATTTGATGCAAACGGGAATCATTATAAGCTAAGTACCTAATACTAGCATAGTAAAAGATGGAACGGATAAATCAAAAAAATAAAAGGGATTAACTACAACTGAAGTAGAAATCTAGTGGTGAATTATACGACACAATGACAATCAGTCTAACATTTAGGAAGCATGGGATGGATGCAACTGTTCCACCACTGGAACTGAATAAATTTATAGATACATGAATGTTCTACAAGTAACGTTAAAGGTTTTAGATATTATAACTAATTTTTGAGTAATACTTACCATGGCAATGTCAGCAAGAATACGTTCTGGTGGATTGTGATGTAGTAGTTGATCGCATATGAAACTGGATAATGTTGCTTCTGCTTCTCCGATATAGCTTACAATCTTCTTATCTACCCAAGGCTTTATTCGAGAATTGACGAAATCCTGAAAGAAAACAATTGTTTGGAAAATTATTTACTGTAAATATTCATGGTGATAAATGAAAGACGGGATGAATTAATGTTCATATCATGAAAAGCGCATCAGAACTGATCCAATATTGCTGTAAATTTGTGAAAAATACGAGAACTTTGTTATGATTTTTTTTAAAGACGATACACTACTTCACTCGACAAGTTCCCGAATCGAAACACGGTTGAACAGAAACAGTAAGAAAAACGTTGATGTATTTATAATTATCATATAAGATTATAGTCTGCTCCAAGTATCCACTAATTGCGCTTCTAGCGTCTCTAGAATTACTGCCGGTCCCAAAACTGAGTAAAGGATGAGGGTTGAGCATGGTGTTAGACAAACAGCAGTACAAAGGTTCAATACAACCTTCCTTCGAAATACCGAC